AACCATACCATGAACTCGAAATCCTTAGGCACCGCACATTAAATTTTGAACCTACTAGGACCATTGTTGAGAGTCACCCACTCTGACTTGTCCCCGAATATAATCAAACTCCAAGGCCCTGCTAGCACATGAACACCCTTTCAAAGAAGCAACCGGCTGAATTCCTCTCCTTAAACATCACATCCACATGAAGCATAGACTATGGGTCTTCCCAAAACCTGAACATGAACCGATAAGGACAAAGATAGCACGCATTCCTAAAATCCTTTGCTCAAATTACTATTGATATTTTCTTTCCTTAGTCGTAATAACCCATCAATAAACCGATAACCATAAACCGCACAAGTTGACAACTATGCAATCCAATCATAGATGGTGGGGCTCCCCCACTTAGCTTGAAGCTATAATTACATAACCCTAGGACCCGCCGAGGTTCCGTTTTCCCCATTGACATCAGCTAAAAGTCCAACAATGCATTCCAAACTCGAAGTCATGTTGCATCCAAATAAAATCTATGGTCCTAGTCACTGCCCATCACAATTCCCAAATTGCTCTAAGCTTCCCTCAAGGCGTGTGGCTATCCTACCACAGAACCCATATGCTACTCTGCCACTCTCCCACTTTGTTCAAACCCTCTCCTTTAAGCAACTCCTCGACTTCTACTTTTTACACTTGACTTCCTAACAGTTCAACCACCGCAAGAGACCTCTCACATGTCCTTCCTCGTCCGTCACTGCCCAATTATTGCTCCAACCCCAAATCCATCTCTGTAACATCCGAACACATGAGTCGCCACCAACTCTAAACCTCTTAGAAGATCACCTTTCTCGAGCCATCAATACTAGAAGTACCAATTCGATTCCAAAATCGCAACATTCCATTATCTCTGACAACCGCATCTTAGGCGCCATTTCACAACACCCTGCCCCGAAGGCAATTTGAAGAAGACCATAACACTGGCGATGTTAACACATTCAATCAAGGATGACAACACCACATCACAGATGAAAATTCCACCACACTTAAAATACCAAGTCTCGTTACTCCATCAACCTAAACACTCATAGTCCGATTGCATTTCCTTTGTTGGAAATAAAACACCATGCCTCTGAAACATGCACTGAGTAAAACCTCCTTTCAAGTCATTCACTACCTCGACGCATAGATAGGCATCCTACCATTACACAAACACGGTGCGATAAGAACACATGAATCGTCATAATAATCAATGCCAAATCTCAAAACCATAGGAAATACTGATGCTGAGCTGAAACGACAGGACAGCCTTCCGCAATGTGATGGTAATAGCCCAATCAAATACGCAGGCAGAGACATCCTGAACCACCTCTGTAGTACCATGACAATTCCTCGATTCCCAATATATAACAAGCACTTCATGTCGCATAAGATTGAAAAGGAAATAAATAAAGGTACAAGACTCAAAAGAATCAATTCGTATGATGAGGAATCAAGAAGGGAAGTGCTCCTAACAAGCTTGTAGCCTCTCGAAGATAAGTACAGACGTCTCTGTATCAATCCAAAAGACTCTACTAGACTCGCTCATGACTCGTGAGACCTAAGTAACCTAGCTCTCTGATACCATATTATCACGACCCAAAATCCATTAAAGGTCGTGATGGCGCCGGATACCGCCATCAGGCAAGCCAAAAATAATTACCTAATATGGTTCTCATTTGAATAATTTTAAATTCATATTTCCTTCCATTAAATAGTAAAAGATGGAATTCACAGAGTAAATAATAATATTTTAACAAATCTAGTACATGACAACCCATAATCACCCCAAAATCCGGTGTCACAAGTGCGTGAGCATCAGCTAGGAAAGTAAAATTAAATACAACATCTCTCCGGATTACAAATCAGGACAGGAGAAATATAAGTACTTTGAAGGAGACTCTGCCGGCTGCAGGTCATAATATGGAATGCAGCTCACATAAGTCCCCGCATGCATACATGCCTCTGCTCTCACAAGGCCACTAGTCACATATGTACCTGCACAAAAATGTGCAGCAAGTGTAGTATGAGTACGTAATCAATGTGTACCCAGTAAGTATCTAGCCTAACCCCGGAGAAGTAGTGACGAGGGGTCGACATCGACACTCACCAGTGGTCCAATAATATCAAGTAGAGTAAAGGAGGTGAGCAAATATGAGGCAAAGTAAACAAATGAAATAAATAAGTGTAAATATGTGGTACAATTATCCTCCTTACAATAAACACAAGCTCTTAATTAGCAAATTCCTCCTCAACCGGAGCATATATATGTGTATACTGGATCTCACCAAGTAGGTTGTTATAATTTGAATTAGGGGGGAAATTTACAGATACCCTGGCTTCTTGCAAAATATTACGCACAATTCCATGAGGACATGATATAGGAAATGCCGAGGCGTACGACCCGATCTAACATAAATATATAAACTGTGCACTACCGAGGGTCGAACGACACGAACCATAGATGCATCTATTAAACTGCCGAGGCGAACGGCTCGATCCCATGAGAGTGTGGTACATAAATCCTGCCGAGGCGAATGACTCGATCATATAAGAGTGAAATCCATAATCCTATAAAGGCGAACGGCCAGATCCCATAAGAATAAGAAGCTTTGACGGGTCCTTGACCCCACTCACGAATAAACGTGTGAGTTATAATTTCTTTAACAATAACCTTTCAATGAAACATATATGTATATATCCCGGAAACATACCGGAAGAGGAGTAACATTATTCAGTGACTAATCATGAACTCGCGAAGTCTCTATAAACTAATTCTACTCTCAAGATGTAATGTAAAACAGAGGAATTAATTACGCGAGAGACTGCTCAAATAATACAGCTATACCATGATGTGAACCTAAGTTTACCCGGACAATAACATGAATCTAACTATGTACGGACTCTCGTCACCTCGTGCGTACGTAGTCCCCGCAACAAGTTGCACATATTAAATACATCACCTAGGGATAGTTTTCACCTAGAGTTAGACAGAAGACTTACCTCACTCAGACGTTCCAAAACCGGCTCCAACGCCGCCCTAACACCTCAACCCGGTGACCGTCGATCCAAAACTAGTCAAATAAGATGCAACCCAATCAAAATATATTCTAATACTCATAATTAGTCAATTTATAACAATTTTCAACTCAGCTCGAAAAATCGATAAAACAACCCTCGGGCCCACGAACCCGGATTACAAAACTTTTCGAAGATAAACATTACCCATAGCATTATGAACCCAAAGATATGATTTATTCTCAATTCCATGCCCAAATTCATGGTCAAAATCCAAAAATACCAATTTTTAGGTTTTTCTTCAAAATCCCAAATTTCTACAATTTTTCATGTTTATATCCGTATATAAACCAAGTATACAACTTGCAATAGGTGGGAATAACTTACCTTGCCATAGATGATGAAAATATACCCTTGAATCTCTCCAAAAATCGCCCAACCAAGTGCAAAATGGGGGAAAATGAGCCAAGTCCCGTTCTTAAATTAATTTGTCCAGCCGACCTTCCGCACCTGCGGTATATCAGCCGCACCTACGGCTCCGCATCTGCGGAAGACCCATCAAAGATTCGGCTCTAGCTCACACCAACATCCCTCGCTTCTGCGCGCAAGGTAGTGCTCATGCGCTCTCGCTTCTGCGCGCAAGGTAGCCTTACGCCTGCGCTTTTGCGCACAGACGTGTCTCTTCTGTGGTCCTCAGTAGCCTTGGCCCCTCCGCTTCTGTGCTTGGCTTGCCACTTTTGTGGCATCTCACATGCGGCTCTTTTTCTGCAGGTGCGATTACACAAAAACTCAGGCCCTTCAGCAATACAACAAAACTCTAAGTTGATCCGTTGACCATCCGAAACCACCTCGAGGCCCTCGGGACCTCGACCAAATATACCTAAACATCCCAAAATATATTACGAACTTAGTCAAGGCCTTAAATCATGCAAAACAACATCGAAACTACGAATCACCCTCCAATTCAAACTTAATGAACTTTAAAATTTCAAACTTCTACAATCGATGCCGAAACCTATCAAATCACGTCCGATTAACCTCAAATTTTGCACACAAGTCATAATTGACATTACGGACCTACTCCAACTTTCGGAATCGGAATCCAACCCCGATATCAAAAAGTTCACTCCTCGTCAAACTTCTCAAAAACCTTCAAAGTTCCAACTTTCGCCAAATGACCCCGAAATGACCTACAGACCTCCAAATCCACCTCCGGATGCGCTCCCAATACCAGAATCATCATACGGAGCTATTCCCAGACTCAGAATCCCAAACGGACATCGACAGCATTGAAATTCACTCCAACCCAAATTTATGAAATCCTTTCAAAATGCCAACTTTCATAATAGGCGCTGAAACGTTCCCGGGTCATCCAAAACCCGATCCGGACATACACCCAAGTCCAAAATAATCATACAAACCTGTTGGAACCTTCAAATCCTGATTCTAAGGTTTTCTACTCAAAATCACACTTTAGTCAATTCCTCCATCTTAAGGCTTCCGAAATTAGAATTTTTTTCCAAATCAACTACAAAATTTCCGAAATTAAATTCCGACCACACGTACAAGTCTTAATACCTGAAGTGAAGCTGCTCAGGGTCTCAAATCGCTGAATGATGCGCTAGAGCTCAAAACAACCGGTTGGGTCGTTATAAGGTGCTCCCGGATATGTCGATTGCTAGATATCAGAGTTTATTTTGTTGGAGACTATCAAGGTAGTTGCATGGCGTACATAGAATTTGACCCCCTTCCTTTTTAGTTATTGTACTGTTATATATTTTTAGACAGTGATTTTATCAGTCAGATTTTGTATTCATTTAGATGCACATGTACTCCGTGACACCGGATTTTGGGAGTATTTATATATGTATTTGTGAGACTTTCTTCCGCTGAATTTAATTATTATGTTTTCAAACTTAAAAGATATGGTGGTTTATTGTGATTGTCGACTTTCCTAGTATCGAGATAGGCGCCATCACGACACGTGAGTTTTGGGGTCGTGACAGATACTTGGGCCGTCTCGATCCTCCTCTTCATCATCACCATCGCCCTCAGGGTATGGTATATCATACCAGGGATTCTCTTCAAGCTGTTCCACGCCCCCATCCCCCTTATCATCACCAACCTCAAGCGTGGAGGGTTCATATCCACAAGCGACCCGAACCTCGCGACCCCACCTTATACAAATCTCGAAACACGTCCAACTGAGCTTCAACATGAAACCATTCCTCGTACAAGTCCCGAGGAACGTTTGGGAAATTTGAAGTTTGAGAGGAAGACAGTTGCGCAAGTAGTTGAGCCTTTTCAGCCTCTAAGGCGGTTACCTGGTCCTGGAGAAGGGAGTTAACTTTATCCAGCTATCCCATCCTATTATCCTATCTATCTTCTTTTGCCATCGCCGTAGATTGATCAATCTCCTGCTTGGCCCGGAGAGTCCTATTCACCAACTCTAGCGTCTCCAATTTTCTCCGAGCCTCCAAACGGGAAGACTGCATTCTTAAGCTCGCTCTGCTTCTCGGCGACTTCTCCATGAAGTACCTCCATCTGTAGCCGACACACTTCCAATTACCTGCACAGCTCGACCACTTGCGTTTGAAGGTCACCACATTGGGCATCTATGACACTGCTGACTTCGAGCTCATCCTCCCTACTTCTCAACTTCCCCTCAAGGACACTACACTTCTTGATAACTCTTACTAGCTCGTCATACTTCTCCTTCAATTCATCATGAAGGGCCTGCAATTTGCCTCCCTCACCAATCTGCCTGTGAAACTCCCGGTACTTACCGCGGTACTCGAAATATTTACGTCGCAACCTCTTAAGTATTGCCTTACGGTTCTCCTCCCTTCGGGTGATTTCAATCTCCAAAATCATGGTCTGCAGTCATATAAAGAAAAAAGAAGGAAAGCAAAAATGAGAACGCCCCTACTAACAAAAGTAAAGCACTAAACAAAAATAACAACAGATAGAAAGACGAAGCCCTAAAATACTCACCCTGAGAGCAAGGGTGGATATGCTCCTCGACAAGGTAGCATTGTCCATCTCTTTGAGGGTTTCACCCTCTACATTGGAGTAAAGAGGGCCAAGGGCAAGGACTACATTCTCCATTTTCTTCAACAGATCACTATCCATAGGGATTGCAATGGTCCTCGTAGATCCCTCTAGCCTTACCTCGAGCTGGGTAAACCCTTCTTAAATCGAATAATGTGGAGCTTTGAAGTATGAGTAGAAGTTCGAGAATTAAAGTCGGGATCGAGTTTGGGGTCAAAATATTATTATATATATGAAAACTAAAAGAAAAAAACACTGAAGACCAATTCGATAGCCTTGAGCTGGTTGGGCATGACGAGGTTACTGCCAATTCAAATGTTAGGCAACAAAACTTGCAAGGTTTGAAATATTTTGATAAAGTGGCTTAGCACTTTGTGCTAGCCAACGTGGACAACAAAGGGGACAAGTAAATTGTCATCAGGAATTAAAGAACAACGTCCTCTAAATTTTTCCATTAGTGTGACGCGTAGTGCGTCGCGCTAGGCGGCGCAATAGTGCTATTTTGCTGTTGTCCATCAGAACGTGCTCTATGAACTTCTCCACTAGCGCCCCGTGTGAGATGCTGCATGGGGCGGCGTGCCTGTGAAATCTTTACAAAGTAAATGACCTATTTCGGCTAGGAAAAGGTGATTTCGTCTGGGCCAGACCCTACTTGGTATAAATACATGGAAAAATATTATTTTCTGGACTTTTGACACATATTTGACCTAAGGAGGCTAAGGAGGAGTGGGAAGAATATGATCACAAGGATTCCATCATTCCTTCCTCACTTAAGACACGAGTTTGGATTGAATTTATGTTTTCCTATCTTTTAATTTTATTTGTGATGAATTGCTCCATATCTACGGAGTAGTTCTCTTTAGGGTTTGATGG